TAGAGTTTATGATGTCTTGTTTAGGAAGTTGGTGAGTGGTAGAGTTTATGATGTCTTGTTTAGGAAGTTGGTGAGTGGTAGAGTTTATGATGTCTTGTTTAGGAAGTTGGTGAGTGGTAGAGTTTATGATGTCTTGTTTAGGACGTTGATGAGTGGTAGAGTTTATGATGTCTTGTTTAGGAAGTTGGTGAGTGGTAGAGTTTATGATGTCTTGTTTAGGAAGTTGGTTAGTGGTAGAGTTTATGATGTCTTGTTTAGGAAGTTGGTGAGTGGTAGAGTTTATGATGTCTTGTTTAGGATAAATAGTTAACTGAATTTAACACGTACACCACATGATCCACATTACAAATAGTTAACTGAATTTAACACGTACACCACTTCCTAAACAAGACATCATAAACTCTACCACTCACCAACATCCTAAACAAGACATAATAAATTCTACCACTCATCAACTTCCTAAACAAAACATCATAAACTCTACCATTCACCAACAACCACATTACAAATAGTTAACTGAATTTAACACTTACACCACATGATCACATTACAAATTTAACACTTACACCACATTACAAATAGTTAACTAAATTTAACACTTACACCACATTACAAATAGTCAACTGAATTTAACACTTACACCACATGATCCACATTACAAGTTAACACTTACATCACATGATCCACATTACAAGTTAACACTTACACCACATGATCCACATTACAAATAGTTGACTGAATTTAACACTTACACCACATTACAAATAGTTAACTGAATTTAACACTTACAAATAGTTAACTGAATTTAACACGTACACCACATGATCCACATTACAAATAGTTAACTGAATTTAACACTTACAGTAAGTGTTAAATTCAGTTAACTATTTGTAATGTGGATCATGTGATGTAATTGTTAAATTCAGTTAACTATTTGTAATGTGGATCATGTGGTGTAAGTGTTAAATTCAGTTAACTATTTGTAATGTGGTGTAAGTGTTAAATTCAGTTAACTATTTGTAATGTGGTGTAAGTGTTAACTTGTAATGTGATGTAAGTGTTAACTTGTAATGTGGTGTAAGTGTTAAACATCACTACAGTTTATTTCCTGTAGTTAGAACTGGACGATTAGTGGACTTTTCTAATCGGTTAATCGTTGGCCTCATTAATCGATTACAATCAACTAATCGGTTATTTTAACATGAGAACTGTATAGCTGAAATAATGAAAAATAGTAATAATTGGAAGTGATATTAATAGATTATTTTACATGACTCTTGTTGATGTAATTGATGCTCATAGATAATTAATCGGTTAATTGTCCAGCTCTACTTATGAATTACGTGTGTGTAGGTTTAATTCAGCTACAATATGTGTATTTGGATACCAAGCTAGTATCTAGCATTTTTATATCGGGTTCTTAAGAAGTTTTATAGTTTTTCATTAGTTTGAGTTTTCCACAGTGAGAAACATAAATTTTTCGATTCTTGCCATTGTATTTATTAGTGTTTAATAATTTTTTAGGTAGAAAATAGAAAAATAACACAATAAAATTTTAACCACTAAAATGTGCAACCTTGTTTTATTCTATGGGGTTTAGTGTAGTCCTGATATAGTGTAGACTGTTTTTAGTGTAGACTGATATATTTGAATACTGGTACATCCTGTATGTTCTATTTTAAATGTGTCCATGTAAAACTGTACAATTACATATCTTATAAATCAGAAATATTTTGTACTCTTGCTCTTTCTCACTGAAAATTTTTCCGTCATCCTTTTAGGCTCTAGATGGTTTTCTTCTTCTTGTCAACACTGACGGAAAAATAGAAGTGGTATCGGAAAACATCAGTTATTTCTTGAAATATACGAAGGTAGGAGGATACCTTAGTATATTATCAGGAGTAAAAAAAAACATTTAAAATGAGAAGTAGAAAACTTACTCGTATTGTTGGGAATTAAAAAAACTGTTAAATTAGAGGTAGAATACCTTCACATATTGTTGAGAGGAAAACCTGGACATATTGTTGGAGTGAGGGAATGTTAAATCAATTTTTTTCAAGTATAATTCTAAAATCTTGGGAGTTTTTAGCCAACGTGTTATAAGTTTAATGTTTATAAGCAATGAGATGTATGTTCATGATTGATTTCATATGTTACTATAGTTACTACTTGTAACATTAAACTAAAACAGAGGTAGGTGAAAATTTTATACTTCTTAGTAAACCTTTGAAACATATGTTACTATAGTTACTACTTGTAATATTAAACTAAAACAGAGGTAGGTGAAAATTTTATACTTCTTAGTAAACCTTTGAAACAGAACATCTTAAAAAAATTCTTAAGTATTAGAAGAATAATTAGTGTTTGTAGTGAAGTCTCAATTTTTATTTTTAGGATGACCTTGTGGGGAAAAGTATCTACAACATAATACATGTTGGAGATCATGCTCGTTTCAGCAGCAGCTTATTACCAATGTCAATAGGTAAAGATGTGGCTATTTATTGATTGGTTGAGACGTTCAAGTAGCAGTGGACAGTAACCGTTATCATTGCTTTCAGTAATAATATTTATCTTAGTTTGTCGTACATTGTTTTACTTTTATTATAAAAGTTGTTTTGTATCATTAGATTAGAATTTGTAGTTAGGACTAACCTAAGCCTAAGTTGTGTGATGAACCTCATGAGATGTTATTGGGATTATGGCCAAAAATACTGTTAAAAATGAAGGCACCCAGCTGATGAAAGAATGTATTCTAAACTTTATATGTAGGAACGTATACTTGATTAGCTATAGTGATGACCAGGTTGATTTTAGTACATAGGCTACTCTGAACGAAGTTATTATTATTTATTTTTGAAGAAAGTTATTTATATTAATTGTCATCTTTGTATACAGTACAAAAATGTCAGATAATTTTGAATGATTTTAATAAATTTTAATCTCAGCTAATGTGGAATAGAAGAGTGGATAGTTTATCAAATTCCCCACCCCCCACCCTCTTTTTGTGCCTACGTTCTAAGTTGTTGTCATAAGTACAACAGTTGCAATTATTTTATTCTGATAGTATTGTGGGAACAATTTTCATTATTACATCTTATTGTATCCAAGTGTTATTTTAGTTTTTAAGCTCGCCCCAATTTGAAACGGCCCCCTAAAATATTTTATTTTTAGCCACCTCGTAGCGGCTCTTAGAATGACTCTGAGTTGGTTTGTTTTTCCAAGTATTGTCTTTTAGGTCGTAGCTCTGTCACCTCTTGACAAATTTGAGATCTAATTACAGTTTTTGACTCGAGAGGTCAAACCCTTTCAACTGATGCATTTGACCATGCCCAAGGTCTAATAGATTAATGTAATCTAATCCTGCATAAAATAATTTCAGTTTGATGTAGGCTGGTAGAGATCCTGATGAGTAATAAAATCGAATCAGGTTATGCATGTCCCATGCTTGGTATTGCTGGTGCACAAAAATATAGCTAATAAAAAGGGGAAAAAAAAGGTCTCGTAGGTTAATTTACTCTAATCCTGCCTAAAAGAATTTCAAGTGCTGCGGCTGTTGAGGATTCCCTCTTGTTTAACCATATCATGAAAAGAAGGGTGTCCTGATTTGTTTACTTTTTACAGTAAAATTGGAAATCTGGTTACAAAAACAGATTCCACTTTATTTCTCCATGATTAAAAATTTAGGTCAATAGTTGTTGATTTTATAAATTAGAAAGCCATTCTCTCTTCTACACAAAATGAATTATAATATAAATCTTATTTACTTTATTAAAAGCACTTGGTGTTAGTTAGAACCCTATTTTAGTTCTTGTGTAGTATTTTTATTGTTTTTAGGAGAGACTGTTAAAGTATTTTTCCCTAATTTGTTTGAGAGACTGTTAAAGTATTTTTCCCTAATTTGTTTGAGAGACTGTTAAAGTATTTTTCCCTAATTTGTTTGAGAGACTGTTAAAGTATTTTTCCCTAATTTGTTTGAAAGACTGTTGAAGTATTTTTCCATAATTTGTTTGAAAGACTGTTAAAGTATTTTCCCCTAATTTATTTGACTGTTAAAGTATTTTTCCCCAATTTGTTTGAGAGACTGTTAAAGTATATTTCCCTAATTTGTTTGAGAGTCTGTTGAAGTATTTTTCCCTAATTTGTTTGAGAGTCTGTTAAAGTATTTTTCCCTAATTTGTTTGAGAGACTGTTAAAGTATATTTCCCTAATTTGTTTGAAAGACTGTTAAAATATTTTTCCCTAAATTGTTCAGACTCCACCATGTTTCTTTTGAGAAATCTGCATTGTGAAGAAAGAGACACCTAGAGGACAGAGAAAATTTCTTTACCTTATTGTAAAGAATCATGGTAGTATAAAAATAGAATATTAGTGCAAGTGTTAGTGTTTCTCTGAAAGTGTTTTGTATGCCACAGTATATTAGTGCAAGTGTTAGTGTTTCTCTGAAAGTGTTTTGTATGCCACAGTATATTAGTGCAAGTGTTAGTGTTTCTCTGAAAGTGTTTTGTATGCCACAGTATATTAGTGTGGAAATTAATCACTAAAGCAGGCAGAAGTGTTCAAAGGGGCGCTATACACATTTGCCTTTCATTTCCACAGGTAACGGATTTGGCTGGACTCCAGAGCCTGGCACGAGTAAAAGTCGTATGTTTAATTGTCGTTTCCTCATAAAACCTCGTGAGGATACCGAGGAAAGTATGGAAGAAAAACAGACTCGAGTATCTCAATATGAGAGCATGCAGATTTCCACCGTTCTCTTGCCTCATCCTGCTAAACGTTCAGACAGTCCCGAAGCTGCTACTTCAGGTAAGCTGCAAGTGGTCTCCTTTTCTCTTGGTCCATATGATCGCTGTTATGCTTAAAGATAATTGTCCAATTTTTATTTTATTGTTTTCATAATAACGTTATCGATATTTGTAAAACAAATGGGAATTTCTTTTATGCATTTCAAAATTTGTGAGAGGCATAACATTTTTTAAAATGAATTTACTGTTAGATATAAAATAAAACAAATCTCAGTTTTTAAGATGTATCAATCTCCATTTTTCATCAGACGTTCAGAATCTGTTGTTTTGTGTTGCCCGTCGAATCCCTCCAAATGAACAAAACCAAAGTCCAGCTGGTGTGGAACAGTTTACAACAAGGTTGGACGTTACGGGGAAGATCTTGGCGATTGACACAAGGTATGTATATTTCATTTAAACATGAGGTTTTTTATTTTACAGTTGAATATTTTGTATTATGCTGCTTGAGTCAAATATTTATTACAACTAAACTGAACTCTGTATCGTGCTACTAAACAAATTTGATAAAGAAGTATTAAAATATTGCAACTTGTTTGTTTATAGACTGATGGTTTAATAGCTATACTTTTAAGGGTAATTTCCTAACGGTTAAGCCAACGACACGGGTTTTATTTTGTAGGGATATTGATATAAAATTCACTCTGCCAATGAAGAAAATGGTGAATAATCTAAACTTGACCAACTCTGGTTCACAGAGGTAGAAGTGAACGTGACATGGTATAATAATTCTGGTAAAACTGATAATTGGGAAATGTTACGCGTGCTTGACGTTTACAGTGGTAAAAATACCAGCAGATTACACGCGTATCATCTGGATGCAAGTTATTACGTACACTGTTGCAACAAATTGTTGAAAAGTTCCACCACCTAATGGGTAGAAATGTTTCTATGTTTAGTGGTGTTTCGTCGACATACAGCCAGTATCTGAACAAGGATCTTGTTGAAAGAATTATCCAGGAACTGTGTCATCCCAAGGATTTACAGAGGTTGAATCAACATCTTAAAGAAAGTAAGTTGAGGTTTTGTTTTATGTACCTTCTTGTGGATGAAGACGTGGTGTGTCTATTGATAAGGTAATCAAATGGTCCGATACGTGTGTGTATTGATAAGGTAATCAAATGGTCCGATACGTGTGTGTGTATTGATAAGGTAATCAAATGGTCCGATACGTGTGTGTGTATTGATAAGGTAATCAAATGGTCCGATACGTGTGTGTATTGATAAGGTAATCAAGTGGTCCGATAGGAAATGCTTCCCGTTTTATTAAACATCTCGTTTATATTGTTTAAACACAGAAGGTCTTTTGATAAACTGGATTATATTTTTAATGTTTGATTGACTTTTTTTTACTCATTTTGTGATTAAATTAAAAGTAAAATTTTGTTGACAACTAGAACATTTCTTATTTTCAGGAAAAGTACTGTTTATTTTTCATCCTATTGCTCTAAATATTTTAAGTGATTCATGACTTTCTGAGCTCAGGAGAATTTGGGTTTGATTTATTTAATATTTAGCTCTACAGGTGGGCAACAACACCAGTGGAATATACCGATTAAAAGTTGCCCACGAAAAGTATATCCATGTCCAAACGAAAAGTAAGAGAGTTACCTACAATCCTGCCACGTGTGAACAGGAGTTTATTATGGCATCACATTCGATTATCAGGTTAGTTCCTAATCTCAAGTTAGATATTCTCCTGAATAAGTATGTAAAAGGCAGAGTAATAATTTTGAGATGTTGAAATTGTTTGAAGAATTTTGGGTCATTGAAAAGGAAAAAAAAATGGCTAATGAAAAGCAAATAAAAGAGAACCAGAAAAATGTGGGGATTAAGTATGGGAACTAGGAAAATGTTGGGGATTAAGTATGGGAACTAGAAAAATGTTGGGGATTAAGTATGGGAACTAGAAAAATGTTGGGGATTAAGTATGGGAACTAGGAAAATGTTGGGGATTAAGTATGGGAACTAGAAAAATGTTGGGGATTAAGTATGGGAACTAGGAAAATGTTGGGGATTAAGTATGGGAACTAGGAAAATGTTGGGATTAAGTATTGGATTTTGTTCCTCAAATTGTACCACAATGGTACAGTCTGACACTGTGAAAAATTTGGGTAGAATTTTAGGAGACTTGATTGAGAGTTAGAGGGGGAATATATGTAGCAAATATTTACCCCTTGACTAATTATGACACTACAAGTTATATTTTTTAAAAGGGGTTAAAATTGTACAAGTCAAATTTGGTTCGAGTTCTTTATCGCTGAGGTTTCTTTGATTCGTACATCTTTCTCATTGTTGTGACTACATATTCTTCAAAGTTCATCGCATGTACAGGCCCATTACATGCTTGGCTTAGAAATAAAATAAGATGTAAGGTCAGTTTGATAAATATTTTGTAGATGTTTTCATACTGCCAGTGTCTCTTATCATTTTCACAAAGAAATAGAAAGTGTGAAAACAAAATGTCATCAATTATTATTTGATAACATTTTAAAATGGTAAATACGCTCCTTGTACAGTGAGCTATGGGATTCCAAAACTGTCATTCCATGTCAGTATCCTACTTATGGGTTAAGATGGTTTTGTTTTGAGGAAATCAAACTGTCTATGAAGTTCTGTGTGCAGTTTTAAAACTGTTAACTTTCTTGTGATAAACAACAGAATCGATAAACTTCAACGTTGTTTGTTTGACCTCAAGATTATGTTGCTCAAGGCAACAGTGAAAGAGCATCTGAAGCCTATTGGTAATTCTTCAAACATGTACAGATATCTGGACAAAGATCGTGACGGGAGTGCAGATGAACTTAATTGTAACATGTTCCAACAGTGAACAAGATGTGTAAGAATTAAAGAAACTCAAACCAAAGTTATTCTTGTCGTGTGAAGTGGTATAATTGTGTGGGTTTGTTTGGTTCCAATAGATGTGAAATTTTAGGTGTTTTCTCAGAGTGATACAGTACAAGGGTTGTATGAAATCACAGGTTACAGGAATGGTCCAAAAGTAACTGACTGACAGATTAACCAAGAAACTGTGGCAGCAAACATATTAGTAGAAGTGTATAAATTTTTCATTTTCACAGTGAGACATTTGGAGACATTTACTTAAATCTGAAAAGAAGGAAAAAACACAGTTATTATGTAACTGTGGATTCACGCAGCACAGCGATTTGCTCGTGAACCTTGGAGACATTTACTTAAATCTGAAAAGAAGGAAAAAACACAGTTATTGTGTAACTGTTAGTCACTTTTCTACTTTGTAATTGGTATCAAATTAAAGTAACCTTAATCTTTTGGTCAAACTGACACGAAAGTATGCATACTTTCCAGAGTAATGGGTTTGATTGACACACGATGTTCGTGTAGAACATTTTATACTTATTTGCACTTACCTAAACATTTTTTGGACGTTAAATTATGAACATGTATATTTATATTATTTAGATTGATTAATACTTGCTGTTTCTTCTGGACAATATAACACCCACAAAATTTATAATGCATCAAGAATAAATATTTTTTGGACACCTAATCTACTTAAGTCACCCGGTGAGTCAGCTATAAGTTTACGGACTTGTGGTACTGTAATCTGTGGTTCAATTTCTTACAGTAGACAGAGCTCAAATAGTCCATTGTGTAAAACAACAACAAAAAACTATACTTGTATCTACTTTGAAGATGTAGTTCAGATTTGTTAGACCAGTAGAAATGTATACTTTGAAATATAATGTAAATAATAAGATAAATTACTAATTGTATATATAAGAAAATTTTAGATATTTATAGCAATGTATATTTTACATCTGTTATTGGAGTTACCATTCTTAAAGAATTTTTAATCAAATTGCTATTAAAACATTTAATATATAGAAGTGTACACTGGAGTAAGTTTCACACAGCTAACACTAAATTTACCATTTCTGACAGAGTTGCATAAGCAAAGCATTGCGTGAAGAAATACAAGTTTCTTGAAAAATTATTTTGTTGATCAACATTTGGTTTATACAACTTTGTGGGGAGTTACTGTAGTTAGAATCCAGAAGGCTGTTTCTGTTTGAAACATCAAAGTTTTTAGGAAGTTATGTATATTTAAACATCACTACATGTTGTTTTAATAAAGTGGGATAATGTCAAATAAGTTATTTTTTTCAAATCGGGTAAAGTAACACATTTCTATTTTTGTTTTGTTTTTCCTATTTAGTGGAGATACTAATTTGCTGGATGTCGATGTCGATCAACGAAATGGTGGTTCATCCTCGTCTAACAGTGTAGGAGTTGACGGTCATATTTCTGCTGCCATCGCAACCACTGCAGTTAATGGGCCTTCTTCCAATGTCCTTTATTCTAGCCTTACCTCGCTGCCTTCGGCCTCTCAGGATTTCAGTTTGGATGATTTTGGTCTTGACCTTTTCCCCTCTTCTAGTTGGGAACTGACAACAGAAAACAGCAGAGAAGATCTGACCAGTGGCAATTCTATACCTAATCCTTCACCAACACCTAGTACCAGTAGCACAAGTAATGTTAGGGTGACTTTAGGTGCAGTCCAACTGTCGAACAGTGCCTTCCCAAATGAAATGTCGCCAATAGTGCAGTCCCCTCCTTCTCAGTTGCCTCCTTCTTGTAATGTTAGTCAAGTTACTCCGCATAATATCTATTCATTTAGTCCATCTTCAAATGGAAGAGTGACCCCTTTAGGGTCGAAACAGATGGAAGATGAAACTTTTGTTTCGGATGTTAACTTTGGTAAAAGAAATATTTCATTGTTAAATTATTCAGATCACCAATCTCCAGCTAGAACCAATCCAAAACTTAGAAACTTACTAACGCAGGGTACCGAGAAAATTGGATCTTCTACTGGAGTAACTTCTTTTTCAAAACTGTTCAGTGACGGGGGTGATTTCCAGAAGATCCACCCCACGGGTTTAGAAAATGGCTTAGTAAAGAGAGGGGTGCCAGATGAGGATAGCTCCAGTAATTCATCCAAAAATGTAATACTACGAGAACTTTTAAACCAAGACGAAGATGCTATGTCCGAACCTCCGAATAAATCGCGTTTCCCTAGTGGTGGTTCTAAAAGTGGAACGTGTTTCAAAGCTGATCCGAATAAAGAAGTATCTAAAAGACGTGTGAACAATAACAACATGCTGAGAAAGGTGAGCTTTTTCTATAATTTATAGTCGTTAACGTGATTACCATCAGTTTCACTGTTGTTCACATTTATACCAAACGAGTCAGTTTTTGAATTACTGAACTATAATGATAAACATTTAAAAAAAAAAAAAGGAATAACTCGTGATTGAAGGTGGAGATTTTTAGTTAAGTGAACTTCAAATTGAATTAAATTAATTAGATACACAGTAAGGATATTAAACTTTATTTTACCATCAATAAGGAAATAGTAACGTGAAGTTAAAACTTTGTTTTTCCAGATTGTTAAAGTTCGTGGCTGTACCAAAAACAACAAAAATCGGTTAATTACTGATTAATTAATTGCTGATAAATGGCGTGTTAATGTTATTATATATTCCCTCTGAGATGTATGGTGTAGCCAGAGATTTGCCACTCTGTACCGTAAGTTCTCCTGTAATGTGCAGTGGGGTCTGTATCAGAGAAGGAAGATCATCTGTAATACTAAATTTACGATATATTTCTACACAAAATGTGGCAAGTTTTTAATAAGATGTACAAGTTTGTTGTACACGAAAAAATCAGATGTGTTACAAAAATATTTGTTTTCGAGATATACGTCTGTGATTTGAGAACGTTGCTTTGACTCCAACAATATGGAGTGCAAGGTGATGTTCACATAAGAATAAAAATACTTTTCTCTGTCATACAGCTTGTATATTGTATTTACCTAACTTTTAGAACCTCTAAAATACATATCTACAGTTTTTTTTTATTTCCTGTTTACACTGTATTTAGTTACTTACTCTCCTCTGCCAAGAACTATCACTAAATTAGCAACATAGGATAAACGAACAGTTGATAACTCTGACATCAAATACACGATACCCTGTGGAATGGCACTCTGTAGAAGGTCGTGGCATGTACACTTTGACCCCACCTGTGCACCTATGGTTAACCATAGGCTTGGCAGAGTTAAGGTTTGACATAAAGTTTATGTAATTTCCCTTTCCTGCCTTTTGTACATTTGTTCTGACCTTGTGCAACTCACCAGCTTCAACATACATCAGCAATTTACTTTTAATAGTACATTTAGTTGTGTTAACTTTAAAAACTAATAAATAATGTCTAACATTTAACATGTTGGTGAGGATCAAAACAAAAGACCAAATATCACTATGGGCTGTTCTACGATATAATGGTTGTAGTTGTATTATCACTGTGGGCTGTTCTACGATATAATGGTTGTAGTTGTATTAT